GTGGGATTAAGCTTTCACATTAGACATTGTGGCGGACAGAAAGGTTTGATGCTGAGCAACTCTTAGAAAATAAGCACCAGAATTTTCACTGTGAGCCCCTAAATCTCCGCCCAGTGACAGACATCTACATAAGATCCCAGGTTCTAGCCATGGCCTCTGCAGGGAAGACTTCTGTCTGAAATTCTGGAGAGTCACTGCCAGTCTGTGTAGACAATACTGAGCTTGATGGAACAAAGGTCTGGCTCAGAATAAGGCATCTTCCTGTCTTGCTACAGGCCTTTCCACCTTTATTATGGTATTTTCAACCCTGTTATAACTTTATTACTTTGTTTAATCAATTTATGTACTTTATATCTCACTTATAGTTGATGACTTTATGTCTTCTTTTGTACATAAATCATCATTATACTATTTTTTATTGTAAGGCACCCAGAAAACTTTAGGTGAGGGGAGTAACATATAAATGTTGTTAAATAAACAAATGAATGCTGCTGTTCAATAAAAAGGCTGCTTCATTGGAGGGAACAAGGGCTGGGCATCCATTGGTCAGGAATGCTGTAGTTGCATCCTGCTTTGAGCATAGTATATAAATGCATACATGTATGCAACCACTGCTACAAGAACACTAATAGCCAAAGGTTGGAAGGGAGAGAATATACCAAATGGTATGGCAGGCAAAATTATTGGATTATGTAGAACTGGCAAAAATGACAGGGAGAATTAGGAATCAATCTGATCAGAGGTTCAACAGAGGATGGGATAAATACAGATTATATTTAAAAGGACATTGTAATCATATGAAATCTTTGGCATGCTTTGAATGACTTCTGCAAAGTTATCTAAATTATAGATATTTCAGATAAACTTAAGTTAGATAATAAATAATATGCAGTTGATAAAGAAAACTTGGAACCTATGATGGGGAGATTGGAAGTCATAATAGGTGGAAGGAATTTCTTATGTATAGAAATGTTTTCTTTTATGTATGTTATCTGTTTTGTTATACTGTTGACTTGTGATATTAAAATCAATAAAAAATTAATTTTTTTTTAAAAAAGCACGGTATAATTGACCTCTAAGGTGCCTTCCAAATCTATGAGAAATATATTTAGGACAATCAGAACATTTAATAAAACAAAAACAAGAATACTGTACAACATCAGTAAAGCAGGACTGGAAAATAGCAGGAAAAGTTAACAGCAATCATCCTCATAAGTTAAACGGTAAGAGTAACTGTTTTGAAAGGGGGGGGGGGAATATGAACCACCTGGAAAGAAATGTGGGACACCCCAGACCCTTTGAAGAGTATCTTCTCTCTGACTCAAGAGCTGTGGTGGCTCAGTTTGGAGATTAAAGCGATGACGTATTATATAACCTTCCCCCAGCTCAAAAAAATGTTTTCCCCCCCATCGAGCCTCCCCCTTCCCGGCAACACGCTGTGGTTTCCTTATCAATGAGATTCCTTAGGCACAGACTCACTGTAGCTTTCTTGGTCTGGGGCCAACGATTACGATTAGATAACTGGACCTGATTCGTTCCCTCCAGAGTCAGCGGCTGACCATTTGGGGGGAAACAAACGGAGCGATGCGGAAAACTCCCGGTCGGTTTGCAGGGGGTGGCACCAGGAGGGTGGCATCGCGGTGGGGGACTCGCCCCCCAAGAAGGAGAGGGAGGAGAAAGGGGCTTTTGGTACACATGGATCCGACAGCACACCTCTACAGTGCAATACTAGACGCGCCTCCTCGAAAGTAACCCTACTGAGTTCGTAGGGACGGGAAAAGCGACTACAGGGGTGGCGGTGGGGTGCTGCAGCCTTACTTGGAAGTCAGAAATCCCAGAGATTTCAAAAGGGCTTTTTCTTCCCTGTTTTAAGAGGGAATGCCTGCTAGGGAATGGAATCCGGGTACAGAGCGGCAAGGCGAAGCGCGTTGACTCGGAAGGAAGACCCGGAGACATCTGCGGAACTTGCTTCCGAGTAAACACTGTGAGCCACGGCAGGCAACTTTTCTCGTAGGATCGGCATCCTTTCCGGGGGGGGGGGGGCGGCGACCAGTAACTCACTCCTGTATCCAGGCTGAAATCTTGGAGACAGTGTAGACCATCCCGAGCTATGGTCTGGTGGCTCTTCCTAAAGCCACTTCCTGTGTTCCTAAACTGAATACATTGAGAAATAATAATAATAATCGTAGAATCGTAGAGCTGGAAGGGAACCCACTGGTCATCTGGTCCAACCTCCTGCAATGCAGAACTCTCAGCTAAAGCATCCATGACAGGTGGCCATCCAACCTCTGCTTAAGAACCTCTGGATGCAGTGTGTGTGTGTGTGTGTGTGTGTGTGTGTGTGACCCGTGTTAACTGGCGCTCTGCAAACGCTCTCGCGCAAGGCTCGCTCGCTTTCGCTCCTTTCTCTGTGAATGGAAAAGGCGGCGGGGGGAACCAGCTGCCTTTCCTCCCTACCTGACTGCCAGATGAGGAAGCAGCCCGCTTGGTGGCAGCGCACTGCAGAGCTTTGCCCGGGCGCTCGGCCTCTTCCCTAAGCATTATTTGATGGAAGTCCTCATCCTCGTCTCGAGGAGGGGAGCAGCAGCCTGGCGAGGAGGAGGGAGAGCCCTGATCGCCAGACGTGGGTCTCTCTCGCTCCCCCGGGAAACGCTAATGAGAAACGTGCCTCCCCCTTGGAAAAGAAAAAGCCTCCTTCGGATGGCGGCAGGTTAACCGTGACAATCCTTAAATGCAGACCTTAATAAAGAGCATATGCCACCCTGACTAGGAAAACTTTCGGAGGACCTCTCGACATATCCAAAGCGGCGGGGCGGCGCCCAACGTCGAGAGCAGGCTAGAAATTTATCTCCCCGGTCCGCCCCGTCGGATCGATGCCCGGCGCGTCCTGGAGACCCATCAGATATTAATAATCACGCAGGACGATCATGACGCCAGGATCCAGTCAAAGGGAAGCGCGTTCACGTCCCGCTGGTTTCGGTGAGAAGAGTTAAGCCTTGGGTTCCCTTTCACCAGATGAAATCAATGGGGCTTAAAAGTGACCGGATGATAACAGCAAATTTATTTATATTATTTAATGCAGAAGAAAGCGGAATATTCACCCTTCCTCGGTTTAATTCCTCCCCCCCTCCCCAGTTACCAAATGGAAATGGGCAAGTAATGAATAACAAATGTTTCCACCTCGTTGGTTTAAGGGGGTCGTAATGGGGTGCGGTGGGGTGGGGAGGGTTTAGCACGGCGAGAGAACAAAGGCAAAGGGAGTGCGCTAGAGGGGCGGGGAGGAAAGTCCTATAATACAAACCTGATTCTTGCGCCTCTTTTCTTTAGTCAAAGGCTAGGCAGCAGAGAGAGAGAGAGCGAGAGAGATGGCAAGCCGTAGCGTCGCACGCTGTTCTTTCCGCAGCTTAATGGCCTTTGCGACAGGGAAAATCCGATTGTTCCCGATCAGCTGTAGAGGGAGGTTTAGAGCCGAGTCTTAGTGGCTTTTAAACGCCTTTGGTAACAAATAAGGAGGCAGCTCTCCCGACCTCTAAGTGGCTACCGAATCCGCTGGAGACTTCTGGCGGAGCTGTGATTGAAATAAGTCACATAAAATTTGTCATCTCCAAAATGTAAATGGACATTAATGGACTGTTAGGTTGGATGATTAATATAAGGCGCCTGAGAAACAACCTTGAAACATTTCCACCCTAAACGGCAAGATTAAGCCTTTGAAAACGATTTAATCGTTAACATACCTCGCTGCTCCAGCGACTTAATAAGGGCGGGGTGGGTGCGTGTTGCAGGCAACCTCGCGGGGTCCCCCCTCCCCTTTGGGGGCTATTTCTGATTCAAAAGTTGAAAAGAAAGAAACAAACTCAAAGCACTTTTCAAAAAACCAGTGTGCAACACTTTGGAGAGAGAACCGCACTTTTTGGCACGGGTCGCGTTGGTTCTGCAACGCCCACACCCTTTAGCAACCAGCACAACTCTTCTTGCCAGAAATGTAGACACGACACCCGCAGCCATTGTCTCCTGGGTTCACAATTGTCTGTCCTCCGCAATGAGTGGCGCTTCGCCCTTTTTCGGTGTAAAGGTCTCTTCAGAAATGGGACAGCTGGCATGTAATTCTACATAATAAAAACAGTCGTGAATGTTCATAAGAGCAATATATTTAAGAAATGAAAGTACATTTTAAAATTGACATATTAAAAATAAACCTATCTGTCTCTCCTCATACTCTCTCAATCTCTTTCTCTCTCACACACAGAGTTCTGGAAATAGATTATTCTAAAACGCCGTTTTTCCTCCGCATTCTTTGAGATTCTGATTTGTTTTAATACGAGTTTGTTTTTTAAATCCCAGCAGCTATAGGGCGGACATGCACACTAGAGCGGTGTGCAATGTTTACCCGTCATAAAAAACATATACAAAACAATACAATTTATATTGTTTTCCAGTACACCGTCCATTATTTGCAAAGTTATTTTTTAATGCAAACGCTTACGAGGAGCTAGTACCCCAGTCCTGGACATGGCAACCTGGAAGTAAGTCCCATTGCTCGGAATAGGATTTACAACCAGGCAAATTAGCCACAGTAGGCAGCTAATGCAGTGGTACAAACTACAAACGATACCGGCCAAGTTCAACCCAAGTAAGGGCTATGCACACGTCTAATTACTAAACATATGCAAAGCTACATAGATACACGGAAGCAGATTCCATTCATTTTACTGACATTTATTTCAACGTAACGTATTTAGGTTGCTTTTATCAGCACGCTTAACGTGGAAATAATTTCAGCTGTGTGTCGGTGAGGTCTGTATTTCGAATCCGAGTGCTGCGATTCGATCATTTCGATTTATCTGGGCTGTGGATCGGGCTGATCGAGTTAGACATGCCTAATTTTTAAAGACACAAAAGTAGGCGGTCAGTCTGCTCGTTTATTCGATTTTACATGAAGGAAACAAATGACGGGCAAACTGCGCCTAGAGCAAACATAATTGCTATAAAATTAAACGGCACTCAACGCAGGCTGCTTTGCCTCCTGCAAATTCCACAGGAGTTTGGGGAACCAAAGACATCCTGGCAGGAAACGAGGAATTTATTCAATATCTCTTTGCAATTCCTGCGAACCAGAATTCCCTTCTGGATACTAAACGGGAATGCTTTGCCGGTCTAAGGGAGATCTCTGTAGTCCCGGAGCGCTTCGCCGCATCTATTCCAGAAATGTCATGTACAAAGCAATCAGGTGCATTATTTTTATCATCGTCGTCGTCATTATTTTACTCAGAAGCAAGTCCCGCTGTACTCAGTGAGGTTTACTCCCGGGTAAGCGTCCTCCAGATCGCAGCCTTCGCTTGCTACCCAATTCTTCTAACGCGCCGCGTCAATTTTTGCAGAAGTCACTCTGAAGGACTGGCTGAGACCATTCGGTCTCCGTCCTCCGAAGCTCCTCGGGACAACCGGAGAGATTGAAACCACCGGCCGATTTCAGTGGGGACGGTAGGAGGAAGGCAACCTTGCAAGGCGAGAATTCCGATCCGGATCCCATCTAAGCCGGCGTGGCCACCAAGTAGGCGCGGAAGCTCCTGGATGGAGAGGCGACGGTACTGTGCTTTTTGCGAGGTGGGAGGTAAACAGGAACACTTATTCTTTGGGTTATATATTATAATAATGCACGAGGAATGCCCGCAGTTGAAAGGTGTTTGAGAGTCCGGCTACCCCCGCCCCTGGTGGATATTATTCTAGTGGGACTAACTTCCCATCAGTCCCTAACTGTACAGGTCAATCCGACGCGCGCTCAAGAATTAAGTCCCGCTGTGTTCAATAGAACTTACTTGGGCGCAGAGGAGTGTAACCTTAGAGCAAGACAACTTGCCAACATCACCTGGTTCTGGATCCAGAGATTCGTTTCTGAGCCGCCTTAGAGGAAGGTCCCAGATAGTTCATCATTCAATGGAGCCATCCCGTCATGAAAGTGAATGTGCTGGCCACGATGGCGAGATAGTCACTCCATTCTCGAAAGCAGAACAATGCCAGTCGCTCACGGACACGCGTGGGGAGAGGGTCGTTGCCACAGTGCTCGAGGCTTCCCAGAGCTATCTGTTTGGTCAAAGCCAGAACGGGATCAGAGGCTTAGATAGGTCTTTTGGTCTGACCCATCCCTGTAGCGCTTTTCTTAGTTTCTTGCGCACGTAATAATAACAACTTGTGTCTTAATTCTGGTGAAACTGGCGAGGAAAACGACAGGTGCAGTGTGTCTTTCTACATTAAAAAAATTGCTGTGTTTCTACGTTCAAAGCCTGTTCATTTTTCAGCTGAAATGGGTCAGTAAAGAATGAACCCTATCCTGCTGAAGTTGAACGCGTTTAAATCTCACTAATTTAAGTGGGAGAGTTGAAACCCAAATCTTTTTTTTACTGAAATCAGTCTCCTTAACTTTGGTTGGATACCGTTTAGATACATAAACACTTCCAGCAAGTCCATCCTAAATAGGTCTCGTCGCGGGAGACAGATCCCGTTCAATTGTACATTTGAAATCGGAAATGCATTAATGGGTAATTTAACCATACCGGTTAAATAAATATGCTGGGATACTATTATACTGGGGAAGGGTGTTTGTCATAGACCTACGCCCGCCACACCTAAAGTCCCCTCTTTGTGGGCAAACATGGTCACGCTGCAATCCTGAACTAATCAAAGAGCAGCGCGATCCTAAGAGCATTGACTTTGCTGTAGATTCTAGGGGGTACCATAGGACTCAACTTCCAAGTAGCTAAGGCATTGGATGGCAGCCTACTTTGTCTAGACGCTTTCCCAAAAGATCAAGATGATCTACAAGTCATTGTATGAAGGACCACCCATTTTGAAATTAGTCCAAGATTTTTATTAGGATGTAGATCCCAGCGAAGGCGCTTCAGGATCGAGGTGTCCAGCTGCGTTCTGGAGCAGGCCCGTAACTGGGAGGAAATGAACTCCGTTCAGTTTACAGGACACACTTCCGAGTAAACATCATTAACATTGGGGATGTCACAATGTTTAAATGTTGGTGTTATTAACGCTTGAAGGCTTGTTCTAAGCCAGACACAGCGCTTGGTTTCGCAGAACCGGTAAGAGCGACAATACTTTGCATTTTACTTGGGGACGCAAAGTGCTCAAAGCGCTTCTTATTCACTGTCCGGATTGTCTTTAAAAGCCATGCCGTCAGGAAGATCAGAAGCCTGGTGTGATCAGGCTATGGCTACTGAGGTGAGAGTCACCTGGCTCATAGCTCAGTGTGTCTAAACACTTGCAGCGGATCCTAGGCGTGTCTACTCCAAAGTAAGCCCCCCGCGACCCCCAATTAAATAAGACTTATTTCCCAAATCAATGTGCGCAGGGCTACAGCCTTTCTGATGGAAACTGATATAACCACGGCTGGGTGCGCTGATACGGGAGATCTTCTGCTGCAGGATGGGTCTTCTGTTTCCAGCTACCCAGCGGCTGTATTAATTAATTTTAGATTCAGGGCTAAAGAGAGCGGGTCCCTCTTTAAATCACAATGTGCGCCTATTACTTTGCTTGCTTCTCGTGGTCTTGTGGGAGGGGGCTCTTCAGAGAGGAAATGTTTTTACCGTCATTCTTACTGCAAAGGCCATAAACCAGCCCGGCTGCTGGCTTCCTGCTCATTCAGCTAAACTGGGCCAGGGCATTTGCGCCCAAGTTCTGCTCTTGTGGCACCACTTCCGTGCGTACACTTCCACTGACTTCTGTGCGAATCTGCAGCACCCAGAGCTTTCCCTGACGGACCTTGGTCCCAGTCTCTCGCAGCTTCTTTCTCTTTAGCTGCAGGTCCTCCAAATCCCCTCTCCGTCCAGTAGCAAATGCTGCTGCTTTTGTACTTTCTGGCTCGACTGATAGAGGGGCTGGAGGGACTCAAGGCAGTTCTTTGGCCTCGACCGGGCTTCAGGGCTTTCGTGTAGAAAAGAGCTGGCGAAGCCCATTGCGCTCTGAAAGTGTGGAGGGAATGGCGGCTTCTAGAGAGAGCTCCTGAAATACTGGACCGTCTTCATGGGGAAAACCTTCCTTCTCAAATATGCTCCGATCCGGACCATCTGAGGACCATTGGCTGGCTTCTCAGCATACTGCCCATGTTCAAAGGCACTCTTACCTTTCCTCGTTATCACGCCAAACGAAGTTGCAAACAGGTTCTGAGGCCGGATCCCGTGTGTGTGGTGAAGAATATTTTATTCTTCATTGCCGTTAATGTTGCTATCATCCAACTTGTGAAATTCACTATTCACTGCCGCAAGATGTGATAAGGACATAAAAAGAGTCCTTCCCACCAGATGCCTCTGGGAGATGAGCACCCCCAGCACACTCCCTCTTGGGATGCCCGGCAGCTGGTATTCAGAGGCCTCCTTCCTTTAATATTGGAGGTAGTAGAGCCAACAGCACTAAAAGCATGGTCATTGGTTTAGGATGCAATCCTATGCACACTTAATGAGAGGTAGGTTTAATTAAACTCAATGGGGCTTGCCTAGACAGACACAGGACTGCAGTTAAAAGGTAAAGGTAAGGGGACCCCTGACCATTAGGTCCAGTCGTGGCCGACTCTGGGGTTGCGGCGCTTGTCTCGCTTTATTGGCCGAGGGAGCCGGCGTACAGCTTCCGGGTCATGTGGCCAGCATGACTAAGCCGTTTCTGGCAAACCAGAGCAGCACACGGAAACGCTGTTTACCTTCCCGCCGGAGCGGTACCTATTTATCTACTTGCACTTTGACGTGCTTTCGAACTGCTAGGTTGGCAGGAGCAGGGACCGAGCAATGGGAGCTCACCCCGTCGCGGGGATTCAAACCGCCGACCTTCTGATCGGCAAGTCCTAGGCTCTGTGGTTTAACCCACTAGGACTGCAGTTAGATGACTTTAAAAGAGGGACTATAGGTTAGGCCTATCAAGGATTATTTGGCACAAGAAGAGTGTGCTTTGACTCATTCCAGATGCTGTATTGGGCCACAGGGGAGGACTGTGGGCTTCACAGAGGCATGTGTCTGGCTAAAAGGGACCAGGCTGATAGGGAACAAGGAGGGTTCACCCATATAAACCAGCACATACACTTCTTATTGGATCTCCCCTGTCGCCACCCGCACCCCCAAATTCCAGCAGAAGGTGCCCAGAATCTCTTGAGGGTGGGAGAGGGAGGGTGGATCTGTGTCATCACAGATGCGGTCACCTCAGGAGCCACATGGCTCATCGTGCTGCCCACTCCTCACCATGCCCACTCCCTCCTTTGGCCATCCTGACTGGTGCTGAGGAGAGTTGGACTCCAACAACATTGAGAGGGCCAACAACATCAACATCTCACATCAAATATAACTGATCGGTAGAAAGGAGTTTAGGATCTGAAAATAGAGATGATGGATGTGCTTTTGTAACTCAAGAAAAACTTTAATTAAAACAAAAAACATTGAGTGGGCCACAGTTTAGCCATCCTTGGATCACACAACAGATGGTGGTTGAGTGATGGACCATATTGTATAGAAGCAGGTTATATGTGGAAAATCCTATGCTTCTGGAGACAAGTGACAGGATAAGGCTTTCAAGCTACTTTTGTGAGCCTCAGCCAGCACTGCCAGTCGCTGTGTCCAACAACACTCCTGACTGACCTAGAATTGTCTGACTGACCCCTGTTGGAGACAGAATGACCTGTTCTGGTCCCTAAAGGCAATTCCTCAGTTCTTCAGTGTCTTCGTCATCTAGAAACAATGGATTTAATGGGAAGTCACGGCAGCAACAACCTCCCAGACACCTTACTGCGATATTATTAAAAAGGCTTCTCATCATATTACCTCAGAAGGCAAAGTTCAGAAGGTTCCTCTGAAGCGCCTTTAGTGCTGAATCAGACAAAGATCCCCAGTTTCTTTGGTATTCCCTTTTTAAAAACACGGGAGACAAGGGGAAGAAATAAAACAGCACGTGCAAAAGTTTTCGGTCTCCGTGGTTGAACTGATAAGGTCCCATTTTGTGGTTTCCTCCAGTCATGCCTGTGACTTCATTCTCTCGAATATGGAGAGAAAAGAATTAAAAACGCAGAGAAGGGGCACACCCACCCATACGCACGGAATTTAGCTTACACACAAGAGAAATTCAGACAAGTGATCCATTTATTTCTTCCGCTCCAGACTGCTCAGAATGAAAATAAAATGAAAACGAAGGGAAGCGCCCTGACCGCCCCAGGCCCGCTCCTCACAGCTGCCCCGCCCGCAAACCTAAAATGATGTTATTTGCTTCTTCCTCAAACCACACTGAGCTTTCAATGTCATTCTTACTTAGCGGCTATGGGTATGTTAACAGAAGCGGTATATCACGCAAAGCAATCCTAAGCAATGCAGTATGTTCACGAGGTTTAAGATCGCAGCCTTACATTATATAGGTCGACTCAAGTGTAAGCAGGTTTGACTCAGTCCCGTTGGAATTACTTAGGCTGGCGTGTGCCCACGCCCCATCTGGGCTCCTTCCGAGCCTTTCGGATGGCGCCGGCAAGTCAGGTGAAGACCAGGCCGAAGCTGTCTTCGCTGTCCTCCCTACCTCCGGATCACAGGAGGGCCGAGGTTGCCCCCGAGAAAAAGCATGGAGCCCTGTGGGTTACTTACATAGAAAAACATGAAATGCGCACATAGTTCCCAAACTCATATAGATGCGTGTATATATGTACACAAAATTTCATACTCCCTAGTGGGGAAACGGATCGCTCATATAATATTAACCACAAAGAAGACTGTGATCCAGATGGTCCAGAGATCTCCCACTCTCACCTTTACCCCCATCCTAAACGTGGTTTTTACTCCCATTCATTCCACTGCTGGCTGTAATCCGACACCTGTGTAAGCAAACTCCATTGAACCCTGCACAAGTGCCAATTTCCTGGGCGCCCGAGTACCCATAAAATTCCCCATGAAGGGACCTGGATACCTACAAATTTCGGTGCCAGGGCCATGCACGCTGCATGGCAATCTGGCACCTACGGTCGCGGGGCCACGTTGGCACTCCTGGAACCCTGCGGGTTTTACTCGAGGAACCTTACAGAGGACCCGGCTGTCTATATTTTCGAATTATCCAGGGGGGATGTTCTCCTGCGCAAGCTCCAAACGTAACCACGGAAGCTGTTGGAAGAGAGCTTTCTGCCAGATCCTGACCTAAATTGCTTGGCCAGTAAATATCAGAGCAAGCGCTTGAACTTCGGGCGACAGAAGTCAATGGGGACTGCGGATTCCCAACTAAGGTGCTTGCAAAACACGAAGATCTGCGGGCCTCTACCAAGCGCATCGCTGCTGGTAGGAAGTGATGGAATTCTGCCTATACACTTAGTACACGCATACATTCGTGGACACTGGGAGTGGCTTACAGCAACACATGGACTATTTCTCAGGGGCGCGTGTGACCTTGGCACAGCCTTAACGCCGACATTTTAGGAAGCCTCCTTAGAAGGAGACGAGACCCACTGAGCTCTGTGGGGCCTCCTGCAAGGCCACAACCACTTGGAGTAGCTTCTGGGTAGACTAGGGCTGCATTGCAGATACGCTTTGGATCGGACCACATGTCAAAGACAGGCACTCAGGGATCCTTATTCATTCATCGGTCCTCAAAATCTAGTCTTTTTTCCAAAGCAAAGTGCTTGGTGGTGGGTGCCGCTGGTCTGCCAGGGCTCCGACTCCGAGGGTGGTCCTAGAGCACCCTGGTTCTGGCTATATCTTGTCGTCGTTCTCAGCCGATCCGGATCAAAGCGATCTTGAATGCAGTTCCTCGGAAGCAATATCCAGGGAAACCAGCCGGGACTGCACTTCCAAGGAAACTCTTGCAGGGTTTATAAGGAGCGGAAAGTTTTCTTTCCCAAGCTCCTCCAACAGTAAATAGAGCTTGGGGGAGCAGGAACCTGCCTTAGAACCGGGGCCTGTTGCCAGTCCCGATCCCATGCCTGTTTTCTCAGAAGGAAGTCGCGCTACCTTCCGCGGTAGATAAGTGCGCAACCTCAGGCGCGCTTTCAGAATAACTTCCGCGGGATTTCCTTCCCAGTAAATACGCGAGGGCTGGGAGGGCGAATGTGGTTGTGCTCACAAACCCTGGCTCCCTGTGTACTCGGAAGAAATAACAACAGCCGTTTGGGTGAGGAGATCGCTGTGGTAGGTTGACCACTGAGAAAGCTGGACTGGATCCAGCAAGTCTCTTCTTAGGTGTGCCACTGAACTGAAGTGGGCAGACCATAGGGCCTGGGAGGCCAGGGTTCAAATGCCCCCTGGGCCATGAAGCTCACCGGGTGACGTTGGGGACACGGTGTTTGTGGGAGCGGGGAGAACCACGCAGACCAGCTAGTAAGCTCCTTGGAGGAAAAAGTGGGCTGGGAATGCCATAAATAACCCCAAACTACAATACTGTTTCTATGCACCACGAATGTGGTCGAGGTCGACGCCTCTTGGGTCTTGGGCGGGGGGGGGGGAGGACTGACTGAGCCAGCCTCCTTGCTCAGGGGCAAAACCACTCCGTCCCGGGTTCGCTTCCCTCCTTGCTTGTGTGCTTGTGCGTGCGTCTCTCTCTCTCCTCCCCTTCACCGCAGCGTGACATCAAAGAGCCCACCGCTGCATAAAGGCCGGCCGAGTTGCTGGCTGCAGAGCAGGAGGGCTGAGGCGAGCGCGGCAGAGAGGGAGCGCGCCGCTGGACCACGCAACTTGGACGGCGCGCCCGCAGCGTGGGCGCCCCTCGGGGCCGAGCCTCCCATGGCTTCTTCGTAGCGCCGGAGACTCGGGGGCGCCGCCGTCGCCATGAACGTGGTGGGGGGCTACCAGGGCCACCCCCATCCCCACCACCACCCGCACCACGGCGCGCTGCTCCACCCCCACCACCCGCACCACGAGCCGTTCCTCTTCGGGCCGCCCGCGCCGCCGCCTCCGCCGGCCCCCGGCCGATGTTTCCCGCCGGCCGAGCGGCCCTTCGCGCAGGGCTGGTTGCTCAGCGCAGCCTCCGACCTCTCCCCGCCGCCTCCGCCTCCTCCCGAGTTGGTGTGCGCGGCAGCTGCGGCAGCGGCTGCAGCGGCCGCCGGGCTGGGCTCGTCGGCTTCGCCCGCCTCGTCGTACGGCGGCAGCCCGTCGGAGCTGGGCGGGCGGCTGAGCGCGGCGCGCCGTCGGGGTGCGTCTTCGTCGTCGGCGCCCGGAGCGCCTCGCAAGGAGCGCCGCCGCACCGAGAGCCTGAACAGCGCCTTCGCCGAGCTGCGCGAGTGCATCCCCAACGTGCCGGCCGACACCAAGCTCTCCAAGATCAAGACGCTGCGCCTGGCCACCAGCTACATCGCCTACCTCATGGAGGTGCTGGCCAAGGACGGGCCGGCCGCCGAGGGCTTCAAGGCCGAGCTCAAGAAGGCCGAGCCCCGCGGCGACGCCAAGAGGAAGCGCGAGCAGCCGGTAAGGGCCCGCGCGAAGGCGCTCTGCGCGCGCTCAGAGGCGCCCTCCCCTCGAACGGGAGGAGCGGGGCAGAAAAGTGAGTCTCCTGGTTCCAGACTTAGCGGGATGAGTGGCGGCTCCCTATATAAGGGGTGGAAACAATACCTTTGTTTCTGCACAGGCTTTAGGGCAGCTGCACGGAGCGTAGCCATGGCCGAAACTTAGAGGCGCGGGGGCTAGCGGTGGGGAAGAGACTCTGCTCAATTCCAGGGAATTGCAACCCCTGCCCCTTCACCCTGGAGCTCAGCCGTCCCATAGCGGAGGGGAGGAAAAAGCACATTGGAGATTGTCTTCTCGGCCAGGTCTGACCACCTGAGCGAGCCTGATCCCGCTCCCATGGGCTTCCGCTTCCGGAGAGTGGACCTCTCTGCCCCAGAACACGCGCCCCTTCCCCAATTCCAGGTCTTCGTCTCCGGGCCTGTCCCATATTAAACTTCAGGTAAGAGGCTCATGTGAGGTAATGGTGCTCCACTTAAAGAATAGCTATCCCAAACAAGCATCTGTTTTCCTCTGAGGCTGATTTCCTCGGTGGGGGTACCTAGAGCAAAGGCCTGGACATAGCAGAGGGGTATGGAAGGAGCCCCACCTCTCCTGTGGGTAGAATTAGGCTGGCAGGCTATAGAGCCCCTCGGAATCATTGGCAAATCTCTGCTTGGTTTTTAAAAATGATTCCCGCCTGGCGCAAGAGTGAAATGAGCTTGCTTTTTCTATGTGTGTTTTAAAGATGGTCCAGTATTTTGTTGGATATCAAGCCCACTGACGTCTGCGGAAGTCCAAGTGAATAGGGTAAGGAGGGAAAGGGTCCTCCTTTAAGTAGAGTGGAGTGGATATTAGGGTGGCAAGCTGGGAAAAGCTGCATTTGCTGTGCGGTGGGTTTGGGAGATGTAAAGATTAGAGATGAGATTTGGTGGCCTGGGTACTTAAACCTCAATTATTAAATCAGAAGAACGCAAGAAGAGCCCTGCCGGATCAGACCCAAGGCCTCTCTTGTCCAGCATCCCTGTTTCTCACCAGATGCCCCTGGAAAGCTTCCTCAAGCCGAGCAGGAGAGCAAAACAGCTCATTCTTGCTCTGGCTCCCCAGCGACTGGGATCTAGAGGCGTGCCAAGGAAAGCCTAGGCCTCTGGCCTTTGGATCTAAACGAGCCCTTCTGCACTGGTGTGTGGGGTGGGGGTTTCTTCTAGACTAAGCAACCAGCCTTCAAAGGAGGGCTGCGGGTTTGATACCCACTCAATCTGAAGCCTTTTGTCCCACAAAACCAAGCTTCCCATACCCACCGCATCCCTTGGTGGACTCATCCTGCTGGTCGTGTCTGAATCAGGGCCATAAAGACTGTGTGGGCAAAAGCGTTCGGCAGTCCAAGTTGGAGACCTGGGTCGGTGGATTTGCGCCCCCCCCCAACTGATGCTTTGCGCGCGAAGTCTGTTGCATGGAATGCATTGCATGACGCTTTAGTAAGGAATGAAAGCGGAATGGGACATTGCGGCAGGCAATATTTCAGGAGAAGTAATGTGGGACTATGGAGCCTCTCTCCGACCCGCTTCCTAATGTGCCAACTGCCGTGGAGATCTCAATCTCTCGGGGAAAGAAGGTCGATTATTTCACTGCATTGCATGCCTTCCGATCTTCATCCGTTAACAGATCAGCACTCTAGGCAGGGGAAGGGGAATCGCTCGCTCCCCTGTTTCAAGACCACGGGGGAATTGCTCCTAGGGATCCCTGAGCTATGGTCATGTCTAATAAGTAACCGTCTGTAACAAATGTCCCCTGCGTCCGCCCTCCAAGCGCCCTTTTTAAACTTGACTCTGGCCTAGGCCAAGCCTTTCGGCTTTGCTAATGATCTGCCCTCGGCCCCTGTCGCGCAATCCCCGACATCGCGTGATTTAGGATGGCAGCCTTAGGCCTCCATCCATCCTTCACGCGTCTTTGGAAGCGTCCACTTGTACATACTTCTGAGTAGACAAGCGTGGGCTCGCGCTGCGCGGGAGTCATTCGTTCTCTTCGTTTGATTTCCCTTTAGCGTGGATGTGAGACGGTGGAGGACAGAGCCAGGCTGAGCTGAGTGAGGGCGGTCATTTCTTGCAAGTGTTGTCCCCAGTTCTGCATTCTGCAAGACGTGCCCTTCCTTGACGAGAACTACTCCCTTGCACGGAACGTTCTTTGCCGGAGGGAGAATCGGAATCCGACCTTGGATGAACGAGCCATCCAAATGTCGTGTTGCGCCGCCTTTCTTTACACCCCGAAATAATATATATTAATTACTATGGTTGAAGGAAGCAGACCTAGAAGGAAAAGAATGGCGAAGGTTCTGACCGCGAGTTAAAGCGGTGAGATCGCCCGCAGCCATCTTCCTTCTTTTAGGTCAGATTAACCCCGGGTCCAGGTTTGTTTATAAACATGCCTCGCTGCGAGAAAAGTGTTTGGAACTGCGCTTTCTGGAAAGTTAGAAGTGACTCGTCTATTGTGCTGTCCGAGGAATGTTCTTCTAGAATATCAATTTTGTTCTTCCGGCGTGAACGCATCTGAAACAACGCCATCCGCGCACAAAAGAGTTACATTGTTGCGCAAGCAACAGCAGACAAGCACTGACAAACTAGTGTTGCCTCTCACAAGAGTATAATAATGGTGACAGTGGTTGCACAATGTGTATCCTTGCAAGTGCAAATTACTCATTTGAACTGGATTTTCTGCAAGATTCAACACAAGGCTTCTGCTAGCAGTCTGCTTTCTGCGCTGGCAGCATTACACCATAGGAAGGTTTTCAGAAGTAGTAGCATTTTCAAGAGGCAAATAGGGAGGGAAAGTCCTCAGCAGACTGTTGAGGCAGAAGCGGGAGGGAAATGGCATGCCCTATGAACGGGCATGGCATGGCTGGCTGGCAGGCAGGCAGGCAGGCATCTTGGACAGGAGGTGCAACAGGCCCCGCTTGTTTTGATCCACAAGTTATCCTTTTGATTTCTATTCGCTGCCCTAGTGTTAAGCAACTGCGTAAAGACATCGAGGCAACCCAACGTTATTTGCGGGCTGGTTGTGAGGTCGCAGGAGCTTCTTCCTGATTGCAAAAGCGGCGCTCTCCTCTTAAGACGTTACCCAGGGTTGCCGGCGACTAACGTTTACTCAGAGCAGACTCACTGAAATTGATGGTCATAACTAACTGAAGCCAATTAGTTTCAATGGGTGTACTCTGAGTAAAAGTGCGTTCAGTAGTCAGCGGCTCAAAGCGCCTTCTCTTTACTCCGCAATTTGGCCATCGAAGACAGCTGCAAATTCTATGCAAGCTTCAATGGAAGTCCAATTGAACTCAGCGGCGCTTGCTTCTGAGTAGACACGCGTAGGATCTGGCGGTAGAAAAGTCCCAATACTTTTGGAAAGGGCGGCCGAAATGAAATGGCCAACTTTTCTTTTTATTCTCCCAGGCCAGGAACCGCATCCTTTTTGGAAGATCGGACTGTAACAAATAGTTTTTTTAAAAACCTGGCGGGGGAATATTTCCCACACCCCTGGAAAGATAGGGAAGATGCAGGGAAGCCTGTCAAATATTGCGCCGCTACTTAAACACCCCACATCCCTTTTAAAATGGCATGTAGCTCTCTTGGCCCAGTCCTCTCTAGGGAATTTCCGTTGATACCGGTCCTTTTCTTGGCGCCTCTTTCGCTAGTTTGCATAGGTTTTTTGTTCTGGGGCTCAAGAAGGCGGCATAACGCAAGAGATTGTTTCAAAATCCTCCAGGAGCGATGAAAAGCGCCGTGGCAACTCTCGACTTCATTTCCTCATCTCCTGTTCCCCTTTCTGGCGGGATTTAAAAATGCGCCATCGAATTGCCAGAGCTGTTTAGAACTGTTAAGGTCATTTGGATGTGGGTTTTGGGGTGGGGTAGGGCGAGCAGAGAGAATTGTACACAATCTGGAAGGAAGGCGGCGGGGGGGGGGGAAATAATAATCCCGTATCTTCGCCGCTTTTGGCTGCAGTTGCTTCCCGCAAAAAACAAAAACAAAAAAAAAACCCACAAAAAACTTCTCCGCGGAAAACCAAGGCGCAAGGAATAAATATGCACACGAGGTGAATTGGGACCGCTCCAAAATACGCCCTGGAAGTGGTATTGTACTTCCATTTCTTTTAATGGAAGCTTCTCCCCAATAAAATAGACCAGTAAGGGCTGGGGAGGGGGGCTGTTCGGCAGACCACACGTTCCTGCTGCCAGCAGAATACAATGCACCCAAATCTCGACACCCCCTCCAAAAAAGAAACCCTCTGAAACTGAACTGGAGCGAAGCTGGTTCGGCTGTCCTGAGGCTTCCATTTATTTATTTTGAATGCTAATAGATTTCTCTCTTGCTCTTCAATATAAATGCATTCAGGCCATTTCAACCCACCCTTTTCTGGAAGTGTAAAAATGGAGGAGGGGGGAAATTGACCGTGAGACGTACTGCTCCTGCTTTTAAAGAGGCTCTGCGCTTCTTCTCCCTCTCTCAATGAAGGCGTTTGGCCGATCAGTTTTCGATACTGTTTCAGAAAAGTATCAGATACTGTTTCAGAAAAGTATCAGGCCATAGAAACATTAATCGAATTCGATAACAGCTGCCATTATCATCATCATAATCATCATTATTCAAAATTTGTATTGCAATATAATTCTCAATCTCAATTTCCTCCCGGTGTCGATTCCCCTCTCCACAGTTAAAAGAAGGCGCTTAATCAGTGAATTAAAAAAAAAAAAGGAAAAGGAAAAAGGAATTCATTCATTCATCTTTATTCCTTTGCGTTCGCTCTCGTTGAGGGGAGATAGAGGAGGAGCCGGATTTGAAAATAAATAATAACTAAATGACCGAGTTGCAAGGGTAAATAAATTAGCATCTGCAAAGTTTATACTATTCAAGAGGCTGTATAAACCCCGCGATTTATTTATTCGGTCCTGTTGCCCGGAGTTTTTTTCGCGGAGCGGCCTCGGCAATTAAAAGACTCATAACCGGCGTAATTTAGTAGAGGGCTCCGACGTATTTACCAAAACGTAGCCTCCTATATTTATAAAAGGGCTGCAAATAGAGACTGAAATTTATGGCCTTCCGCCTGATTATCTAATACTCATAAACAGATGAACAACTCCGGGGTCTTCTTTACAGCCTTCCGGGCGAAATTTACAAACAGTGGCTTCGTGGACGGCAGAAGGGCTCGCCATGCAAACGCCTTCCTTCCTGCCTTCCTTCCTTCCTTCCTTCCTTCCTGCCTGCCTGCCTGCCTGCCTTCTTGCCTTCCTGCCTTCCTTCCTTCCCTTGCCTGGCTCTCTTCTCTGCCTTAGGCACGATCCCACCAAGACCAAGCGCTTTGCAAGCCCCTCCGTCGATTTTCGTTGCAAAGGCAGGAACTGGCGCCGCTTGCATCGCCTACGAGGACTGTTAAGCGCGCTTCGCAGGGGCTGCGTTGGGCCTTATAGGACAATCGATAGGATTAGTGGTAGGATCCACTTATTAGTGACAGAGCCGCCCTTGAGCACACGAGAAGGCAGTCCTGGCGCCCTCCTAAAGCGTACTTTCTCAAGAGTAACACGCTTAGGATGGCTCCCCTCTACATTTCCCTGCTTTCTTTTCTTCTGGTGATGATGATGATTAATGCGTAATGGAGATTCATTCCCTCCTGGTTTTTGTTTTTTCCTCTTTCCTCCCCTCCCCTCTCCCCCTTGCAGCAGACCGAGGGCTATTCTCACGCTTTAGGCCACGGAGAAAAACGGCTTAAGGGCAGGACTGGCTGGCCTCAGCAGGTCTGGGCGCTGGAACTGAATCAATGAATGAAACCAGGAACCGTTTCCAGAGAACCGGCTCCACCGAGGTGGCTGGGAGGAGGACTGCGCGCGCGCCCAGGATGGGGGACCCTGTTCTCCCTGGTTGGTCTCTGCCCCATCCCTCGCGCACCCCAAACCCCCAACACTCAGAAGGAGAGAGAGAGAGAGAAATCGTCTGCGACCCGCTTTTTTGCTTGTTTCCGTCTGCTGATCCGCCCTCCCCTTCGCAGCCTTGGAGCGGGGAGCCGGCGGCCGCCTCAGTGAGGACGAGGATCATGTGCAATGTGGAGGCTGCAGAGAGGGGCCCCCGAAACGCCGGAGAACGGAAAACTCCCCCTTCCCTGAAGCCAGTAACTCGCTGGCTTGAAAGCCCGGCGAGGACCTGGACGTCAAACGATGGACCGTCTGCGCCGTCGGAAGTCAGGCAGGAAGAAGCCTTGCCGGAAACCCGCGCCGGATATCGCGTCGTCTAATGTCGCTTTTGAATGTCTCATGGAACCAGGGTGCCACAGATGTAGATGTATATATATATATAGCTATATCACGCGGGATTGTGTGCGGACCTGAAAGGGATCTGTGTTGCACAAAAGAAGGTGGAAAGCCCGCCAGCCGATCCTGACTTGAGAGTGATTTCCATTTGCTGTCAAGCCATTGCTGAAGGGGGGGGGAGTGGGAGGGGGGAGGAGGAGAAGAGAGGTTGATAATCCGATTTCATCACAATTTAGGCTGCAGCCGAAACATCCTGTTCTTCGTGAGGATCCCATCGAACAGGAGGAGGAGCTGCTTCGAAGTACACCACTCTATTCACGCCAGGCCACTCCTGAGGCAACAACTTTCTTTCTGCATGTCAGCGTGCGGATCGGAGCCTTTGCTTCCTTTTCAAAATCTATAGGATCCCCCACCCTAGCGCCCTAGCAGGGCTGTAGCCGGAAACCTGAGCACATAAACGGATTTGCTCGGGAGTAAATCCCACAGCTAGGAATGGGATTACTTCCTGACAAGGATGGAAGGATGCAGATAAGAGCTGGAGGAGTTGAATCCCACCTTTGGACACGATCCAGCCCACCTTAAGACCCCGCCAAATTGGATTTCCAAACTCTTGGCTTGGGCTGGACCCATCCCTCGGATTTTAGTGAGGCCAGCTATGCGGTCCTCAAGGGGCTTATTCCAAAACCGCCACCCGCCCTCCCCATCGGAGTCCATGAAGCTCCTTCAATAAACCACCTGTGGGTGTAGCGGGGAGGGGTAGCTGCCCCTCTATCAATAAAAATCAATAAAAATACAAAAGGCCTGCCCCCCCCAATCCTTGCTATGCCCATGAAACCACCTGAGTCAATAAACGACATTGAAGATCACAGCCTGCAATTCTAAGCAGAGCCAAAACTTTCAGGTCCAGGTTGCAGAAATGGAAGGAGGCTCGCTTTGGCTGTAACCCGGCTGCTTTCTTCTGTCTCTGTGCCCTAGGTTTACATTTCCTCTGCTTTCATCCCCTCTCCTCCCCAGTTAAAAGAGAATCCAGTTCAGAAAGAAAGATGCAAAGTGAAAGAAGGAGACCCCCAATCGGCTCCTCCTGTTGTAAATGCACTGTCGCCTGCCTGGCCTGGGACCCAATATTGCCCGTGGTGTATGGGGGAATTGGCCATGCACTCTAGAGACACTGTCCCCTACAGACGTGCATGAGCTTTCCATACCTTCCTCCCACCACCACTTCACTCATTCCCTGCACCCCCCAAGTTTGGGGGATTGGTTCCTCCTGCACTTGTGGGGGAGGGGAATACTGGGCATGATCCAGCTACAATTAAGCACCATTTAAAAGGTCGCCTGGTTTCGCTGGAGAAAGTTCAGCACATGGTGACCCCCCCCCCGCGTTGAAACCAGTGATTCGTGAGGATGCTTCTCTGTGGCAGGCTTGTGTGTTGTGCCTAGTGTCGCTATTTGTTTCGATGTAAATAAACACAAGGTCTCCCCCTCCGACCATGTCTCTCCTCTCCCAACATCGTTGATTCCATTTCATATTTTTGTTTGGATGTATTTAAACTACCTAAATGGATGCATTTTATACATTTCCTGTACCGGGTTTTCTACCTCAAATCTGTATGACCACTTGCGAAGAGAACAGGTTTGCCTTGCCAAATATTTATGCGGATTTAAATAATAATAATATTAATAATAAAGAAAAGCTTTATGAAGATTTTGCTTTCCTTAAGGCCATCACTCCCTAAAGTCAGATGGATTCCTTGTCTAATCAAGCTGAAACAGAGTGCAAAATCCTCTCTGTTTGAGTTTGGAAACTTATTTTCCTGTTTGTGCTAATGGGAAAACAGCAGTGAGGGAGGAAGTATGAAATTTGCAAGAACAGAACTTGATTAGCAACAGGGAAATAAATAGTGGGGATATGATCCAGCGTTAAGCCCTACTGGTTTATATTTATATTTTTTATAAAGACTGAAAATTTCTGTCTAGAATCTTGTTTGCATCCATGGATTCCCTAGGTAACTGACTACTGTCAACCACCCTGTGCCTAGGAGAGATATAGCACAGGGCGGGCGTTTAAATAAATAGGGTGTCAATCATATTTATACGTGAACAGAAATAGCATGAAATTATTTTAAATATACATCATATTTTGAGAAAGCTCTATATTTATTGATATTGCTAGTTGCTGGTGCTGTGTCATAAACATATATGATTTAATGCTACAGAGAAAAAATGTTTATAGTTGTGGTAGTTGCTTGAGAGCTTGCAGACCCAACAGAGATTTCAAAAATAAATAAATAAAAGTCTTAGCGCTAGGCAGACAGACACAGACCATGATTCACAGCCCCATTAAATGTTAGTACATGGATTCTAGACAGTTGTGCCTTGATGCTAAGCACCTTGATTTGGAAGAATTTATCTGAAATCACCAGAACTTGCATTCAAGTAAACATGGGACATGATTCAACCAAAGTGAGAAGGTTTTGGCCCCATACCAAATTCAGTAGGAGAGTTAAGCACGGATTTGAATGTTTCCAACTGAAATCAAGGGGATGTCGGAAGAGAGTTTAGTTGGAGATTTAAGTGTGTGCTTCACATTCCTGGTGGAATTAATTGCTGTTAAAAATGTTTATAAGCTTTTCAGTTTTACAAGTAACGGGATACCAACATTTATGTCGTCCTCCCCTTATTCTCAGCTGTCACTCCCCTACAGTGTCAGAAATGATGAAAGTTAGTTTATAGAAAATCGTTGCTGATACCAAGTTTAAGCAATCTTTAAAAAATAAAAAAGAGGAAGAGTTTAGAGCATGTATCTGCCATTGAAATAAATGGGATTTAAAAGTTGCCCCCTCTTAGATGTATAGTGTGTTTAGTATACACATTGAGATACCTCAGTGTGCTGACTTGGTATACATGAGCAGCATGCACATTATGGGCACTTTAATATGTTTCTCCATAGCATTTGTGGAGTGTACACATTATTTAACAGTGTTTGTGTTTTAACTGAAATGCAGATGCCTAATATGGATGCAGAGGCACAGCTGTAATGGGGAAGAAGGGCCCAAAGAGTTAATCTGTCCCACTTCATTCTACACATCCCCCTCTTCTTGGTGAGGACTCCATTAGTGCTAATGTGGCAAATCAAAAGGAAATATTCATTGTGAATTTCAAAAGAAAGGACAAGACAGCATAGTTGCTTGTCTCTTCTCCCCAGCTCTTCAAGGCTTAGGTTTAGGAGAAAGAGCAAAAAGACAACAGATCCTAATGAAAGAGAATTCCACCCCCTGCCTCAAGAACTTGCATCAGGACTATTGTGTACGCACAGATTTTGACAAACATTCAGAACTAGCACCAGAGAACAGGTGTACCATTTTAGAGCCCAAGTCTACCAGATTGGGTAGACTTGGTCTGAGAAACTTTTCTAACAGGTCTACTTTACTGTTGTTTCTCAGTGGGTAGACCTGCTGTCCTGGTGATTTCTTCTCCCTGTAGTTGAAACCTTTCAATTCTCACTCCCACCCCCCCTCCAATTAATTGCTCAGCTACTTCACATTTCCCTTAATTAAAAAACAAAAGCACGACAAAACTGGACAACAGCACTTGATTACACTGCGGTTATTGCCCCCCTTTCCTCAGAAGAAAGGGTATTAAACTTTGCTATTTTGCAGGTCTAGCATAACCTCTAGCCCTGTCCAACAGGGATAAGCTAATGATGGTCTTTATCTGCATTGGTACAGGCAGGACATTGAAAACCAATGTTGTTTAAATGTAAACATTGTAAAAACAATGTTTACAAACTCAGGGGAAGAAAAGAACATGTGAGAAACGGTATGAAATTAGATCTGAATTAGATAATGGTCTTTGCGGCTGCCTTTTTGTTTTTAGGTGGACCCAACACCTGCAGTGGGGCAGATCCACACTCAGGACCCCAGTGTTGCTGCTGCTTACCTAGTTGGGGCAGGGATGAGGCTGGGTGGGGATGAGGTTGGGGCTTTGAGAGACCAGATAGACTCTTTTGGTGGTTCCAGGTGCCTCCACCCAGGCAGCCCCATCGAGGTAAACAGCAGAAACAGTGGCATCAAAAGGGGAGCTCCATTCTACCATGTGTGCTGCTACTGCTATTCTAAAAGCCTGGATTTCTGAGTAGTTTTTCATGGGGTGGCAATCACTTCTCCACCAAGGAAGGAAGCTTCAGTATGAATCAGGAAGTTCATTCATTGGGTGTGTCACTTGGGAATGCCTTTGACTAATTGCCTAGCCCTGCTTTCCCAAATGTCCCTCATTTGCACTGAAAGATAGAAACAGGCAGTCTCAAAAACACACTGGCCCAAGAGCTCATGCAGATTTAGCCTCTTCTTTCTGATTCTACAAGGGCTGGACACTTGCTTAAAAAAATAAAAAGAGCCTGGGGGCTATAGTTTTAACCCCTCCGCACACAAGCATCCACGTTTCAGCAAGATCTCCAGTGCTATGCCATTCCTACCAGACCTCCTGGGAAAGCTTTGATAGTGATAAACATGTTAGAGCACACAGTGTAGGATGCTGGACACATCCATTGTACTCCTTGGACTGCAAATTGGTGGGCATAAACCTTGATACTTAGAGAGACGCTCCTCCCCTTTTCTCCTCATACCAAGTCACATGCACTGCCTTGACTTTTCTGGTAAGCTAGGAAGCTGATCTTATGGGGAGAGGCAAATGTTGCAATAACTAAACCTAATACAAACATGGGAACAGAATCTTGACCCGTATATGAGACTGAGTGTGCTACTCTTTTTCTGCCAAGTGCTGCCATTAAAGTAAGCCTTTGGGGAAGATGTCCAAAACCCCCACTTAGCAGATTGAGCAGGGGGGTCTCCAAGGAAAGCAGAGCTGTCACACCACATTTCAAAGTCACTGTACTATTACATATTGCCCAGTGCAGGGTCTACAGATTTTGCCATAGGGGCAAAAATCAGCAGAGCTGCACCTCTCCTTTATTTCTCTCTCTCTCCCCCTCTCTGTACACATGTGCATGCACGCGCACACTCACAAATATACATACATAATTCTGTCAAAAATATGTTTCTTGATTTGCACAACTAACACAGCATTCTTCATTAAGTATTCTCCCAAGAAGAGGATTTTGTGTCACGGAGACCTCAGTCCTACTTGTGTCCATTTTGTAAGCACCATGATTGAATTTAATAGGACTTAATTCTAGGTAGACCCGGAGAGGTTTGCATTGCACTTCGAGAAAGAGAGATGGAAAAGGTCAAACTGCTCTTGACTTTCTGTCTCTTATTATAGAGTCTCTCACACATGGACATTTCCGGAGAATGGAAGGCAAAACAAAAGAGGGAGGGAACTAAAATTTTCATTAAAGCCCAGGTGTGGAAACAAATGGCAATCATTATACAGTGGTCCCTCGGGTTACAGACGCTTCAGGTTACAGACGCTTCAGGTTACAGACTCCGCTAACCCAGAAATAGTACCTCGGGTTAAGAACTTTGCTTCAGGATGAGAACAGATATTGTGCGGCAGTGGGAGGCCCCATTAGCTAAAGTGGTGCTTCAGGTTAAGAACAGTTTCAGGTTAAGAACGGACCTCCGGAACGAATTAAGTTCTTAACCTGAGGTACCACTGTAAATGACAATCATTAGCCCCTAGCGTCAAAGAAAAATTAGCACACAAATGAACGGAGCTGAAAATGCATCACTATTGGGTCCAGGTGAGCTTCACTGAGAAGAGCATTCCTTGAATGGGCAGCGGCCAGCCAAAAGGCCTGTCCTCCTGTTGTCACCCTCTGGGCTACTCCTGGAGGGCACAGACAGAAGGGCCTCTGATGATGATCAAATCAAGCGAATTCTCTATCAATACAAGGAGAGAGACTAGAGGCACCCAGCAATGGACTGATAAGTGCCCAGAGTATCAAGGTCCTTAAGTGATTAGATGATTCCCTCTCCAAGTGTTGAATTCTTTCAGCTTTAGGCCTTGGGGGTGCTCCTTTGAGTATGGGATGTTTATTTCAACCACCTAGGTTCCTTTATCCAGGCAGGATTACCAGTAAAACCAATAGAGGCCTTGCTTAGAGGAAAGGGGATTTGCAAGCTACAAATAAGCCACATATTCATAACATACCATGTTAATCATAATAGAATGCAACTCAAACTGCTTTCTCTTGCTGTGTTGATCACGTAGTTGACAGAGGATGCTGTTAACATATTGGCTCTATTGGTGGAAATACTTCTGGTAATAGGATTCATGAAAATGACCCCCATTCTTTCCCACACTCGCTGGCTTCATTCCTATAACACGGATTACTGAGGCTTTAATTTCATGACAGCAACAGCAGGGAAGGAAAAACCTCCAACGTAAAGAGGGGCCTAGCTGAGGTGTGAGCCCAGGAGATTGAGAAGGTAGCATAAATCGATGCAGTCAAGAAACCTGGTGACAATCCCATGGAGATTCTGCCACAACTGACATATAACCATTCTGTATGCTGCTCGAAGGTCATCTACACGCTACCTGAACAGGGCCTTAAGTATCCCATTAGACATCAGGTGGAAACTGCAAACTATCCCAAGTATCTAGGAATCATTTAAGAACATAAGAGCAGCCCACTTGGACCAGTCCAATGGCTTCTCTAGTCCAGCATCCTGTTTTCACAGTGGCCAACCAGATGCCTATG